CTAAAGCATGGGAGAGCATTTGCCAGGCTGTCACACCATACACATTAACCACAGGGAGGTGGGAGAGAGAAAGAAGGAAGAGCTATTTCTAGATGACAAAGGAGATTATTCCAGTACTCTCTTTCTTCCCATTGTGCCAGAGAGAAGAAAATGCAGTCAGGCCATGATCTGCACCAAACTCTTCATGTGAATCCATTTACCCGGTTTAGTAAAGATACTTCTCACAAGAAACCTCACTAACATTCCCTTTTTGGGATGGACGATGATATGCAATCCAGAACTGGCTAGGGAGTATCAATGCACCATACAGCAGAGCTGAGATGGTTAACTAAGAAATACCTCAACTCTTTCTTTATGACTGGATTGTTTACAGCTGAAGAGCTCGTTCTACTTGTATTTTCCTGTGAAGCAGATAATGTTCAATCACCTGCCGAGTTAAAGTCTAAAATACAGTAGCTCTTCATTATCCAGGGTGGTGAACTCAATTCTCCCGTGTAAAGGAGTTGAACACGCATTGATTACAGCGAGCGCAGTTCAGACAATGCTGGAAAATGTTCTTTGTTTTACAAGAATTGAAAAGTGATTAAATTATTGACTATTATAATGCATTCACATGAGTTAATATCATGCTGCAGTCCCCCCTTGCACATACTTATTTTGTAAATTATCTCAACTAGAATAACAGGAACAGCTCAGATGTGGTACATCAGGTTAACTTTTCATATGTACTTTCCAAATGCTTTAAATCAGCCTACTCATTTTGCTTTAGAAATTACAGGTAGGATATGTGCTTTCTCAATAAACATTTCATAAAGACCTTTACACTCAGGTTTTCAGTGAATATTATTTAGTAGGGATCAGTGAGATATGAATTCAGCTCACTGCTACAGAAAGAATATGACATTTTTGCTTCACATGGAATCCATCTTTTCCAATGAACCTTCATACCAGCAGTACTGATGAATAATATATGTATTTCAGGAAAAAATAATATCTAAAAGACTTAGAGCCCTTATTATGCATTATGGGTCCAATATTAGGCAAGATGATGAATTAAATTTTGTATTTTGAGATATTAGGCTAGCTCCTGGCAGGGCAGGATGTCTAGGTTAAGAGTTTGCCCTACTCTGTATTGGTCTGGCTGAGATGCTATACTTTATTTGCTAAGAATAGATTCCTGTCCAGTGCCGACAGCTCAGATATCACATGTAGGTTTCCCCATCAGTATTTTGGATTATTCTTCAGGACTACTCTTTCATTATGAATGAGTAGAAGTTTCAGACACTAAAGTCTACTGGAGTTAAAAGTTATTCTGCTTGTATTCTCCGAATCCTGATGCCCATGGTTCTTTATTTTCCAATGGCAATAGAAGTGCTTCTTGCACCCAGAGCTGCATGCATCCTACATCTGAGTTCAAGAGCTGAGAGGACCTCTGTAGCACACAAAGGTACTGCTTGAGCCTCTATCGCATCTGCAGATGTTTCTACATCATCTAAGAGTGGATGCATGAAAATCAAAGCCCGGTGAACACAAATGCAGTGGTGTTTGAACAGCAAAATTAAGACTACACAAGCTACCTTGTGTATTCTTTTACATATATATTTACCTATATATATAGATAATCATACAATCATAGAATAGTTAGGGTTGGAAAGGACCTTAAGATCATCAAGTTCCAACTGCCCTGCCACGGGCACGAACACCTCACACTAAACCATCTCACCCAAGGCTTCGTCCAACCTGGCCCTGAACACTGCCAGGGATGGAGCATTCACAGCTTCCTTGGGCAACCCATTCCAGTGCCTCACCACCCTTACAGGAAAGAATTTCCTCCTTATATCCAATCTAAACTTCCCCTGTTTCAGTTTTAACCCATTACCCCTTGTCCTGTCACTACAGTCCCTAATGAAGAGGCCCTCCCCAGCATTCCTATAGGCCCCCTTCAGATACTGGAAGGCTGCTATGAGGTCTCCATGCAGCCTTATGTATATACACTATATATTATACAGCTGTATGCAATATATATTATGTGTATGCATATAGTAGTCATAATATGTAATAATATATGTATTTATTGTATTTTAGAAGGTGGATATGGTAATTTTACTATATAATATACATGTATACCATATACCTTGGTATGTCCATACACAGAGGGATATAATATATATTATATGTAACAGCCATGGAAAAGATGGTTACTATTGTCCGAAAAACTGCCCTGCAGAGATTCTTCCTGAACTGAGAGAAGTTTTGGGTAAGGAGACTTTAATAGTTGGTCTGGTTGGAAGGGCACAGATAAAATGAGCAGCTGGTCCTGGCACTTTTAATTGTAGTTTCATGACTAGCATTGTCCAGGAAATGTCAGAAGAAGATGCACAGGTTTTCCTCTGTGTTTTGCCTTAGGCCCCATCTATGGGAGTGATCACTGGTGTATATGCAATTTGGTTTTTTTAAAGGTTCAACAACCTGCAATACCAGGGAAGAACTGAGCCAACCCCGGGTTTTCACTAGGATAACAGAATAATGACTGACAGAAAGACAGCTTTTTTCCTGGCAGTGCAGTGCCACAGTCAGTGGTTGTTAACAGGCTCATAGAGGAGGTTCTGTCAACACAGGGTCAAAGCAGTGTCTTCTGGGACAAAACTGCATTATTTATGGGGGCAAACCCCCTCTTTTCTGTTCATCTGGAAGAAGCAAGGCCAACCAAATCAGAGCTCTGCAGGGCAGCCTGTTCTGAAAGAGAAAAATTCAGTCTGGAACCACCCACTCATGTATGAAATCCCTGATTAAAAGAGGGTGAAGTTATTTAAACTTCATGTTAACTTTGATCAGGCAGAAGAAAAAAGGGGAGGGTACATATGTGTGCACATACTCTGTGCCTTCATTAAAGCCATAAACATTTAGCCTGGCTTGCAGTTGGGTAGAATATTTCTTGGTGATTCAGATATGTCTGAGTCCCATTTACAAGAGCTACTTGGATGCTCAGGCACTTCAATCCCTCGGAACATCAGAGTCAGAGGACCCTGGGGTAGCTAGTTAAGATGGGACTTTCTAGGTTTCCATCACTGATGCCTGAGCTTTGCCTGAGTTTGACTTGCATGTAAACCTCTGCTACTTTGAGCTATTTTTTTCTTCAGTGTTGTGTTCCTGCTGCTGTATGAATAATAAATACTGTTGTTTCACTAATTTTGGCTGGCCACTGTCTGCTACTGGTTGCTGATTCTCAAAGGGAAACTGCCAAACTTGCCAAGGGGTAAGAGCAGATGGCATACATGGAAAGCTGTAATTGGATTCCCATTTAAGAGGAGGGGAATTATACAATCAGGCAATTAGGCATGGATAGCATAAATATAAGGCTGTTCCTGAGAGTGCATATGCAGAGACCAGAAAAAGGGCCACTAATCCTACAGCTGTGCTATGGAGAGACATTAATTCCTGTAAGGCAATAGACATGCTTCTGATGACTAAGTCATTCTCCTCACCCTCTCCATGTGATCCTTGACTAAAACCATGATGTCTTCTTCTGACAGTGGCTGTTTAGTAAGCAACTAGCCCTTCTGAAACAAGAATATCTGGTCCACAGCTGCACTGAGCTAACATCAACCTTCACCTCAGGTTTGTGTGGCTGGAGAAGGTCACAGGCTTGCTGTGAAATCAGCAGCCACAGGTACCTTATCCACCCTGCTCCCCACAGAGGGTATGAGGGTGGCTGCAGCCCATTGGCACGGCTGGTGTATGGTGGAGGCAATCAAGGGATCATAGAGAAAGCCACTCTGCCAGCACTCTGGCTTTTAAAATGTCTTTCTTCTTCAAATAAATAATAAAGTATCTAGAAAGTTCTGCCTGAAAACTAGGAGTGAGGGAGAAGTGAAAGAGGAGAGCATCAGTGTGACAGGATTTGAAAGGGTTTTTCCAAGTTAAGAGATACTGTTTCCTTCTGGGACCCCCGAAGGTGCAGACAGAGGAGAAGCAGAGGGATTTTTACTTCAGATTATGCAGGCCCTGGGGGTAATGGCAATTAGTGCATCTACTGCAGAAATGGAAAGTCTCCTGGCTGGAACTCAGGCATACTGCCTCACACCTTGGAGGAGATTAACTATTGTTTTAATTCGGAACCCTACAGGGAAGACGGGGGAACAGAATGTAATTACTTACTTAGCCAGGACATCGAAGATAACTGTCTACCCCTGAAAAAGTCTCTTTAATAGCTGTGAGGAAAAAGGGTCTTGTTTTTTCGTCTGCAATTTGGATTTCAAAGAAATCCGTAACTTCCCCCTTTCTTTGCATACATTTGCAAAGGGCAGTTCTTTGGAATGAAGACTGCAATTTCAGGGACAGCTCCGGCTGTCACGTAAAGAAATGATTCCTAAACTGTGTAGGGGATCATCCTTTAATATCTCAAGACAGGAGCCCTCAAAACTTGACACATAAATCTCAGTCTCAGTTTGCTTCAAGGGATCTATACTGGATTGTCATATCCATGCCTCCTGCATCAGTACAAGACTAAATTCTGTTATACCTAAATCACCCCTAGTAAATTTTAGCACAAGGGTCCAGTCTGGTTTTCATGGCTGAAGAGTTTTATTTGTTCTGATTTATTACTGAAACAGCTTTTTCCTGTAGCAGAAAGTGTGATAAAATCAGATGGAAAAAAATGAGCAGGCAGGATCAGCTTATCAGTCCCATTGCTGGCCTGTTGGATAGATCACATGTATGTCTCTCGTCTTTCAATGGATGTGACAGCAATTCTTCAGGATGATGATTATAAGGAGTGAAAATGTGCAGCCTAGGAGAGCCTAAAAGTAAACATTTTTCCCAGCCTTTGAAACCTAACAAGGACATATCCTTAGTGAGCTTTTCCCTGCTTCTCAAACTTCAGCTTCACATTTACTGGGAACGGTGCACACCATTGAAAAAGCATTGTCTAGCCAAGAGACATGAATTTAACTTAAAAATTACGGAGACACCACGTACCTGGAGGCACCCACAGAAGTGCTTTGGACAGGTGACGGATATCCATGAAAGAAATAGAGAAGTGGAGGTAGGCAAGGAGGATCTGACAAGTCAAACTGCTCCAAAACTGCTGAAACAGGATCCCACAAATCCACAGACTGACGAGTGATGGATCTGGTTAGCAAGGAGTTGGTCACATCTGTGGAAGAGAAGAAAGGGCTCTTTGAAATCCAGTGGGAGTTTTACTACCTTGAGTTTAACATTAAAATTATGTGTGGAAATAGGAAAGGCTTAAGACTGACAGATGCCTTATGTCAGAGTAGATGGAAAAGGGGAACTGTATTTTAAAGGCATCCATTCATCTTTATTTTGGTTATATACACTTGCCACTTTTAAGGAAGACAATATATGATTTTTCAGTAGGTGACAGTAAAGGAATGCATGTGCAGAATAGCTGGAAGGACTGAGTGGGTGGAGAAGCTCAGAACATCTGATCTTTTAGCTTCCTTTTTAGCGGAGAAGCTATAAGCTCAGTATACTGTGAAACACTTCCAATGTTCACTACTTTATTTTGTAATAAAGGCTTTATTTGCAACTGCAGTGATTGAAAGGAGAGAAAAAAAATCACACTGGTACAAATGGCCTGGAGGACAAATGCCCTGTTCTGTCATATAGGGTGAGACTGTCTCCTACAGACCACGCAGCAAACCTCTGCACCATCTGCACGTGGTGCTGAATGACCACAAAAGGCATTTTATTAAAACTTCAATTTTTTTCTTGTGAGAAAGTTCCTCCTAAAACTTTAAAAGTGGGCAAAACCCTTCCATGTCTATGCTGATCCTTACAGAGGTCCCCATTCCTTGTGGCATTTAAGCACATCTTTAACTGTTTAGCTAGATAAGGACTGCAGCTTTCATGTTCTTTGCAAATATCATATTCTATGCATGAGCTTACTTTTTGTGATTCATTTCCCCTGTAAAATAAATTACAAACCTTCAGATGGGATTTAGTCTGGATTTCAGAGATAAATGTGCATACATTTTTATAGATTTGGTTTGTTTATGTCTCTGCATATATATATTTATTTTATTATAAGCACCTATTATTTGTTGTCCATCAGAAATTCCAGTCAAGCCCAAGAGTTTGGTTTTGTCCAGGAAGCTTTTGATCACGAGTGATACTACATGTGCTTTTAGCAACAAAATGCATGACAGAAGAAAACCTCTCAAGCAGCTTTGTGATCTCCTTATTGCTTATTGAAGGATGGGAGGTGAAGTTATTTTCTCCTAAAGCCTCAGAACTGTTTTTCATGAATGATCTTCTTTTCTTTTAAGATTTGTTCTTCCTCTGACTAGAGAATTATCCTTTGGTCTGGGGAAATAAAAAAGAAAGAAAACATAATGTGTATAAAACATTGTAGTGAATTTTTATCCTTTCATCTGGAACTATGGCATGAACTAATTTTGCTTCTCTTCCTTCACCAAGGAGGCCAGCACCTTTCAATCTTAAGGGAAAAGAGGTGTATTGCACTTCAAACTCACCATTGACAAGATGCAGTGATATGGAGTCAAACGTATGTACCCTGTAGGTTACATTACCGTTGTGCAATCTGCTCCATTTAGCTCTTCTAGGTCAGGTGGAGTGGCCCAGAGGGACAGCTGCATATCAGAAAGTCACAGTTCCTCCTTCACTCCACTTACTTCCGAAGCTGTCCTCATGTATGTGGGAAAGGAAAGCACTGTTTCCTCTGCTGTGCAACAGAACCTAGTTTTTCCTCTCTGGTGTGGTATTTAGGGCATGGGGGTTTTGAGCAAAGGGTAAAATGACCCTGCTTACTTCTCCACTGCTAATTGCCAGGTTCCAAAGATCTTTATTTCACCAAGCTCACAGGTGGGAGCTGGACCAGGACCTCACTCCCCATTCACAGGCCTACAGAGGGAAGCAGCCTGTGGCTGTCCTGCGGCTGATACCCCTGACCCCAGCAGGCATGGAAAGAAAGGTCAGTGGTGGTGCTCTCTAAAACCAGTATGGGTATGTAGAGCACATCTGCCAGGCAGTAGGTGGAAGATGAGCTGCAGTTTCAGACCTCTCAAAGCTACGTATTAAGCTAGTTGTAACCATCACAATCAACAGGCAATGCCATGGAGGACAGTTCATCTCAGCATTCTCCATCAGGTGCCTAAACCAGACCTCTTCTACAAGAAATCAACATGCCTCCCTCCCCACTGCCTGTGCTAGAACTCAGCTGGCACTGAAGTTCAATGCGCTCTTGTCTACAGCTTGAGATCCCATCGAAGAACATATCTGGTAGATAAGTAAAGTTTTTCACTGTCCTTCAAGGTGCATGCATGTTTTCAAGAGGGAGCTGAAGGACATTAGGAGGCAGGGGTAGGTACTGACTGAGAATAGGAGGGGAGGCAGGAGAGAAGATGTTAGATTCTGATGCTGGGCACAGACGAGGGAGGCACTGAAGGTGCCAGAGCAATGTGGCTCAGAGCAGGTATGGACTGGCACGATCAAACACGGCAGAAAGAAGATGGGAAGCTTTTTAAGGCTTCTCCTTCATGACAGTGTTTGAAGAGTAGGAAACAAAGTAGGGACAACATCATCACAGGAGCTCCTAGGACAATCTTAACAGTGAACCTCAGGGGGTCTGGGCTGTTGCTGTAAAAGTGAGAGGAGAAGGTGGCTGTGATAATCAAGGTGAAGGGATGAAAAGGTTTGGACAAAAGCATTGCCGAAGTGGGAAAGGGGCATGGGGTAGGTACAAAGACCAACAGACAGAACCAGAAAATATCCAGCTCTAGGTGGAATGCCAGATCAAAGGAGAGAGCTGGATATAAAGACGAAATAGTGTAAAAGCTTGAATCAATCTCCTTAATATCTGCTAGTGCATGAAACCTAAGGCGTGACATATATAATAAACACTCTAATTGAGAGAGGGGAAAGAATTTGCAACAAAGAAGAGAAGGACCTCTCCAAACCTGTGAGAGGAACATTGCTGTAGCTGGGTGGGGCTTTCACAAGTTAAAGGCCAGCCCTGATGCTGCTATCTAAGCAAAGCTTTCTGATCCAGCAGAAGGCAAATCTTCCTCCAACTTCAGTGGGAGCAGGTTGAAGCTGTGTGTTGAGGGATAAAAGCTTAATGTGTGACTTGATAGTCCCAATCACCTGTAGCAAGAGAAAAATACAAGACCAGTCTCATATGGTAGTGCTTCATGCCTAGCTGCTGCAAGTGCAAATGCATACTCTCAAATGGACTCTTTCTGTGGAGACTCCAGTGAGAGAGCTCTATACCAAGAAGCTGTTCTATATCAACACCATAACAGAGAATGAACATGAGATGTGTTTAAAACCAAAATCTACATCATTAGGTCTAGATAACACCTTCTTAGGATTAACCAGGCTTCTCCCATTCATTAACAGCCAGAAGTTTTGTGCGCCTACCACTGCCTTCTCAGTGCAATAGGCCTACAGTCATCAATCCGAAGCAACATGTATTCTTCCCCTGGTAAGATCAATCCTACATAGGAATGAATCAATGCTGCAAAGTCATAGGAGAAATTCTTACCTAAAAAAGCATCCTGTGCAGTGAATTTGCTCAGGACCCCAGCAAAAGGGGGTGAATCAAACACACAGCGTACAAAGCATCAGTTCCATGACCAAGTGTGAAACTAGGAGAAATGTCCTGTCTGCTAACAGTAGCTGATGCACTCAGGGAACTTTCACTGCCTTTTAAAACCACAGTGACTACCCTGACTGCTTCAGATTTGGTTGATAAACTCTCCCACCGCAAGCAGTGACTGGGGAATGGCAGCCAAACTGGGACATGACTTCACAAAAAAGCAGACATCAGGGTCCACATTTCAATCTTGTTTCTCATGCTCACAACAGGGTCCATAAACTGATGGTAATCATCGTTAACTGTGAAATACATTTGAACAGCAGTTTGCATCTAGCTCTGGATCAACTTCTACCATTTTGGAATCTATCACTTAGACATCGAATCATAGAAGCATAGAATAGTCAGGGTTGGAAAGGACCTTAAGATCATCCAGTTTCAACCTCCTGCCATGGGCAGGGACACCTCACACTAAACCATCTCACCCAAGGCTCTGTCCAACCTGGCCTTGAACACTGCCAGGGATGGAGCATTCACAGCTTCCCTCTTAAACTGCATTCTGATAGGAGAGCAAGTTCCTCTGCTAAAGGGTAGAAAGACTGTGGATACAAACAAGTCTTAACAGCAGCAAAGATAGCTTCATGGCTCGTGGCCTGTGTGTGCATATGTGGCAGGGGGAGTGGGGCTGTCTGGGGAGCTGTATGGTTGTCGTCTGTATGCATTTGTCTCAACTAAGAAGCAAACTCCACCTCAACAACCATGGCTTTGGGCAGCGTGGCTCAAATAGTGCACACGGGAGACACCCAGGCTGATGAGAGCCAGCTCACCCTCACTGGTGTGTCAGAGGGCTCTGCTTCACAGTGAGGCTCAGGGCATCCCCCCAGACCTTTGGGGAGATGCCTCATAAGGGCATCACAAGATGCTTCACAAGGGCATCCCCCCAGACCTTTGGGGAGATGCTGCACAGTGAGGAAATCTGAGTAAAAGCACACCTCCTGGAAAACAGCACGCAGGACTGGAGGGGGTGCCTTGGGCTTTGCAGGCAGGGAGCAAGGCAGCAGAAATGCCCCACAGCTGCAAGGCAGCATCGGTGGTCTTAGGGTAGAATGTTTTCTTACTGGTGCCTGCAATCAATCACTCAGTAAACAGAGATGAGCCTAGAAATCGATCAGGATTTTCTGCAGATAGGCAGAGATTTAACCAAAGACAAAGAAGAATCCTTGACTCCTTTGGTGTGATTAAATGCAGGTTCGTGTACTATCTGCTGCGAAGAATATCTGTGACTGTGAAAGATCATTGGTAGTGAGGCACACGAAATGTCAGCTGCTGCTTTCAGGGAGCTGAGCAAGATCTATTGCCTGGTGATAATTAACTATCCATCAATAAATGATAAGTGCTCCAGGAAATCAACGTGAGGAAGAAGTTGTTCAAAGGAGAGAAGCAAGTCATTAGAAGGAGCAAACGTACTGGAACATTGACAGGAAACAGCACATCAAACAGCACAGATCTAATACACGTGGTGGTGGTGGTGGAGGGTGGGTAGGAAGATGTCAGAGTTCCGAGCATGTGGCTAGAGG